CTGTTGAGTTCTTCCTCAACGTACTATCGTGCTTCGTTCTTTCCATATAAAATCCTAAAAATTGTTTTAAATTCTCTCATTCCATAGTTTCTCCCATTCCATTGTTTTGCTTTGACTTTTCTTTTATAATATAATTTTAACGAAAATTAAGTGTAAAAATTGTTTTACTACACTCAATTAATTATATGGTTATATTACAATGTTCATATTATTATAATAACTGTATTATAAATATTTGTTACATATATAAGTCATACATTATTTCTATTCGTTATAACAATAAAGAATTTATCTTCATCGTTATAAATGATTGTTTTATATTTATTTTCATTTTAATCGATTTCTCTAAGGTGAACGAATTTCTCATTTACAATATGTTTAATTTATTATATATTTTAGATACAATAAATTTATATTTGTAATACTGAAATATCAATATTTGTAACAATATAATGTTGTTTATAAATAAATAAATAAATATATATATATATATATATATATATATATATATATATTATAGAACAATACAATATATATAATTTTGGAGATCAATATTTAAATAAAATTTATAAATATTTTTCATAAAGTTAGCGTTATAGTGAAATTTGATATATTTCATGAAAACAACTAAATTTTCCTATCTAAAGTTAATTACTGAAAGAGAATCTAATGATTTTATTATTATTCTACATACGAATAATAAATTACAGCAAAATTATTTTAAATGTATAGAATAATTATTACGAAATATATTTATTTCATACACGAAATAAATTTATCATTCAAATTGGGAAATAAAATCTGCCAATACTTGTTATTTCTCCAAGAATATACACTCAGACCAATTATTACAACATAATCCTTTTGAATTAATATACGATTTTACTACTCCTGTTATTTTATTCAATTTACAAGTATAAATCATTGTATATATTATAGTTATCCGTTTGATTAATTAGGCTGTATTCCAAAAGTTTCAATTCATTTGTAGGTCAAGAAATAATTAAATCATTCCAGTTGCCTATAAAGTAATATCTACATATATATATATATATATATAAATTTAATTATTTATTTATGTGAGAGTGCACGCATGTAGGCATGTGTGTGAGGGGGGATGCGTGTAGCGTATATATTTGATTATAGATTAAAATTTAATAATATTCAATAATATAAATTATTGTTAACAAAAAGAGACTAATATATTATTTAATTGAAACATGCATTTACTTAAATTACTGCAATCATAATATAATATATTAATAAATGTACATAAAAAAGTCTCTGTAAAGTTTCGAAGTCAGATGATAAATTATTTTACAGAAATTTAAAGAACAAAAGTAGGATAATATTTATCAAACTTTGGTCAATATTTCTTTTTCTACGCAGAAATTCACTTTCTATAATTGGATTTATTATATTATTTATACTGTCTCATATATTCAATAAAAAATTATGTATTTTGAATTTTTTCATACGACCGGGTAAAATTTATTATTTTTTTTTTCTATGCAAAAATATTAATATAATTTTCTCGAAATTTATCTATAAGTAGTAGTGCTGAACGATATTTGAAAAAATTGCAAATTCTATGTTTTTTTTTCATCAAAAATTTAAGGAATTCGGAATAAAATTGATATTTTATCAGAATAATATCCGTCAATGTAAACGTTTTCAAAATAAGAGTTTGGTTTTTTATATTGCATATAATTAATGTCATATATAACTTAATTAACAAAAAAAGAACAAAAAAGAATAGAAAAAAAGAAATAGAATATATTTGAAAATTTTAATTTATATCACAGTAGTACTTTCTTTTCAAGTATTTTCAAATAAAATATTCATTGCTCATTCGGCAATATTGTATCATATTATATATCTTATGGACATTTAACATAGTTTATATAATGTATATAAGTAATCTATTGCCTTTATTAATATATAAATAAAAATATAAAATAGTAAATAAAAGAAGGAGAGAAAAAAATTTATTAATATACGTATGATTCTCATAAAGTAGAACCGTAAAATGCCTTTTTTTAAAAATTGTTACGAGAGCACAGAGAGAGAGAGAGAGAGAGAGAGAGAGAGAGAGAGAGAATTGTTAAAAAATTTTCTCCAATCCCATGTAATTTCAAATTCATCGGTATTTCTCATATAGAATAATTTATTAAGTCCGTAATTTATTCACACGTAAAGCCGTTAAGGAGGCTAGACAGAGTAAAGGTTTGTGTTGGAGAATTGGCCTCGTTGCCAGTGCAATCGCCGTGCGTTATCATTTCATCGCTGCATCAAAGGAATAGCTCACCTATGCAAGTGCGAGAGAAGTAGAATAAGAAGGTCGAAGATGCAGGAGAGAAGCAGAGATAAATAATAGAAGAAAGGGCTACCCGGCTAAGGAAATTGAGATTCTCTGCGAATTCGGATGAGCGCACTGTGAGATTTACATAAGGTTGTATGCGGTGCCGGTGGGAGCTTTAGCTGCTCTCTGTCCCCCCCCCCCTCACCCCACTCACACAAG